TTTTTACCACATCTTTTTTATCCAATCATCCATCGAAGGACACTTAGTTTACTTCCATGTCTTGGCTATTGCGAATAATGCCCCTGTTCATTGCAGCAATATAGTTTTTATCTTTAAATAAAGCAAATATGAAGCAGATAAGATTGCTTTAACTCTTCCACAGAGTTTAGCAGTTGCAGAAGTCTCTGTAATGTGGACTTCTGTAATGGGAGGCGACTGCAGTGGCCTGCACGCATGAAGGCAGACATATGTTCTCTGGGACACCCTGCCGAAGGAGCAAGCTGTAGACATAGAGAGGACATGGGGTTCAGTCTCTGTTTTTCTACCTATTATTATGTCACTTTGCCTTTTGAATAGAGGGAAAATACCAGTTTGACACCCTTATGGGGTTTCCAATGACGTGCTTTGTAAGCAAACGTTATATAGGTAGATGGGTAGTTTGCCCTCCTTCTTTGTGCTCTAAATGGGAACAACTGAAGAGCATATTCCCTGGAAGACAGCATCCTGTGGAAGCTTCAGAGGTGGCATGGCACCTTCTCCCAGAAGCCTCTTCATCCCTCCTCTGGGCATGCTCAGAGAGGCAGCGGTACTCCTGAGGTTATCTCCCTTCAGTATTGGTGTCATAAATGACCTCTTGTGAACCACTAATCTGGCTGTCTTTTAATACAGGAAACCTCTTTTCTATTACACAATTTTCAGTCTGTTTCATTGTACTTGGTGTATTGCAGTGATTTGTAGCACATGTAAGTGTACCTGAATGAACCTGCTCTACACAAGTCCTGATTATGTTCTTCATATTGTTTGAACACTTGAAAGTAATGGCAGATCTTCTTTCACCTTGAAAAATTAGTATTTTTATAAATGGGGTTCTTAGCATGTATGAATGGTTTCAGAACTTACAATATGTTTTAGACATATGGGTGCCCTTGAATGGAAATATCAATCTCTGGTCTGGTTGTTAAACGAATCCATTATTTAGGCTAAAACTCTTCTACCCAAGAACCAGCTTTGGTAACTAAAACCAAAACCTAAAACTTCAAGCCAACTCTGACTGCCAGCCACCAGTAGATGGTGCTGACGGTCACTGTGGTCCCTTTAGTCCCTGGCACCACAGCACTTCATGCTTTCCATCCTCTGGTTCATGTGTCTGTGCTTAATTTTGAGTTATTTTAAGAATATTAATAGCCCATCATGCCTGGTAGGTGTAAAACCAATGAGTATATTGAAAGTGCTAGTAAGAAAAGGAATGAAATGAAGAAAAAAAATAATAAGGAAAAAGCAAGTAGTAAGAAAACACTGTTGAAGGGATAATTCCAAGGGACAAAGAATAGCTCATATAATAGGTTTAAAGGGTTGTGCCCACACAGATGGCTGTAACTGCCAAGTGATGGGGGAAGAACTGAATTACACAACACGTTGGAATATATGGGTTAGAAGAGCAGTGCCAGAGACCTCTTAGCCTGATGCTAATCCAGGAAACAATTCAGTTTGCTCAGCAATGGAAAGGCTAAGGCTGGTGGGGGTGCGGCTGACCAAACCTTGGTCCAAAGTTCTAGTTGATAGGCCCAAATCCTCCTGAACCAAATGATGGAGAGGCTCTGAGTGCAGTTAGTGTGGACAGAGCAGTATTACAGTCCTTGAGGAAGATTTCCAACATTAAAGACACTGATTCTTTTTGCAAAATGGCGATCTCTCATAAATCCCATGTCCTTGAGGAAAGGGGGGGGGGGTGAGCCTGTTTTTAAGCTCACATTCCTTATAATGGAGACATATTAAGGGACTGCAAGAATGAGCCTTCCAAAGCTATCCTGGACTTTTTTTATTTTTTATTTTATTTTATTGATTTTACACAAAGAGGAATTGAGAGGGATAGAGAGTTAGAAACGTCGATGAGAGAGAAATATCGAACAGCAGTCTCTTGCACACCCCCCACTGGGGATGTGCTTGCAACCAAGGCATGTGCCCTTGACCAGAATCGAACCTGGGACCTTTCAGTCCGCAATCCGATGCTCTATCCACTGAGCCAAAATAGTTTCGGCTATCCTGGACTTTTGAACAGACGGACTTACACCAAAACCTGATAGAACAGTTCTAACCTGTTAACAAATAGAGGAACTGGATACTGTACTCTTCTGTTTTTGCTACAGAGCAGCAATGTATTTTTTATAATATTAAAATAGGAAAAAGTGAGACAGTATGTAAGTAGCCATTGTGAAACCTATAGGATTCATTACTTTGCCAAGTGATATAAGCAACTTACTTTCCTATCATAATGTAAAAATGTTGACATAGTGGCAAAAGCATAAACTCTGGCACCAGCCAGCTGTGTGAGCTTAGGAAGCTACCAGCTCCTCTGAGACTCACTTTCTTCATCTGACGATTAGGCATGATGCTGCCCATCCATCAGAGATGTTGCCAGAAGTAAAAATATGACTATGTCACTAACACAGTGCCTGGTCATAGCAGGCCTCCAGTGACCAGTAGCCACTAGTGGGATTAGCATCAATAGCACTGCCCATGATTCATAAAACCTCTCAGCAGAGAGTTTGACAAGTGTGCAACCTGCAATTGTACCAGCTTTATCAGCTAATATAGACCAAACTTGTGCAACAAATCAACCAGAAAGGCAATGGTTAAAACACAATAAAAGTAACTCTTTCTCCCTTAAAACACCCAGGATGGGGCTCTGGTTCAGAAGGACTGTGTTGTCCTTATTACCAGTATGACTGCCACCTTGATTCCAGCCCAAAGGAAGGGGTGGGGGGGCTGCATGCATGTGTGAATGAGGTCCTAGGACCGGAATAGAAGTGGGAAATACCGTTACCACCTCCACTGTATTGGAGAAACCTTATCCAAGGGGTGCTTCAGTGGGCTGGGAAACATTTAGCTAGATCAGAAAGCAGGTCTAATTAAGCAAGTTGTGTGTGTGTGTGTGTGTGTGTGTGTGTGTGTGTGTAAATATGGCTAGGTTGACTTGCACAAGTATGATACATATAATGCTCTTTCTAGCGCCAATCACACGTGTGTATTTTGATCTGTCATTGTAAATCATGACATGCCAGCTACTGTGAAAAAAAGGGTGAAATTGAGGTAGCTGCACAGGTGTATTACATAGCATAGTAAATACCTAAAGTACCCTCTGTGCTCCATGCTGCTTCTTGGTACCAACCTTTTGCTGAAAATATGCAATTTCTAATCTATCCTAAAATTCTATAATGAGTCCTTGAGCACAAGGCACAACGTCATGGTAATACGGTGTGTGGGTGCCTATATTGGGCTCTGTACTCAAGCCAGGGACTGGGTGACAGGGGCCTGTGCACCTGACCTGGTTTTAAGAGGCACTTGGGGTGATATGCCAGCTTAGTCACAATGCCAGAAAGGTTGGCACGTGGCCAGCAGGAATAACATCAGGGAATCCAGACAGTGGATCTGGGAACCCTACTAACAGGAGTTGCCTCTTGGGAAGTCCGTCTAGATTAGCAGAAACCCAGATACTGGTCCGGGTAACAGGGTCAGGGGAAAGGGAGGGGAAGAATGTGATCAGGCAGAGAAAGTGGGCAGAGTGCCCAGGCACCAGACTTGTATTCCAAGCATGCCTCCAGTCTTAGATAGGGAGCAAGGCATATACAGTTAAATGGCAGAGACTAAGCATTCCCCTGGTCTGACCTAAAGCAGGGCATGGGTAGAGCAGGGATTAAGAGAGGAAGAAGAAAGTTTAAATTAAAAAGTAATATTGAGCCAGGCCAGCATGGCTCAGTGGCTAAGCATCAATCTATGAACCAGGAGGTTACAGTTCAATTCCAGTGAGGGCATGGGTTGTGGGCTCAATCCCCAGTGTGGGGCATGCAGGAGGCAGCTGATCAATGATTCTCATCATTGATGTTTCTATCTCTCTCTTCTTCTCTGAAATCAATATATATACTAGAGGTCTGGTGCATGAATTCATATACATTGAAAGGAAATAAATTAGAAGTAATATTTTAATATTGCTATTCACCCTTTATTTATAATAGAAGTGTTAACCAAATTCATGATCTACAATGACAGATCAAAATACATGTGTGTGATTGGTGCCAGCAAAAGCTTTATATGTATCATGCATGTGCAAGTCAGCTTAGCCATATATATATATATTAGACCTGCTTTCTGATTTAGCTAAACTTTTCCCAGCCCACTGAAACACCCCAACTTCTCTTTGAGGTAATTGTCAGTAACACAGCCATGAATATCAACATGAAGCAGATTATTATTGTAGATCATGCAGGGAGAACAAAGGTAACATATTTAACTGCAGCAGAGTTTGTGCAGTGAGAAAACCTGAAGTCATTTTCAAGTTACACCATTTCTTACTTCTTTTCAGTCAGATCAAGTTTCTAAGCTTTCTAACTCCATTTTCCCACTAATGAAAAGAAAATAGGATTCCACCATGTCTCCTACCTACCTACTCCAGAACTTCTGTGAGGATCAAATGAGATGAGGCATGGGAAAATGTTTCACAGACATTTGGTTACAGTGCAAAATGTTTGCACCTAGCTATAAAGCAAGTTGTGTTCCTGGGCTGAAGAAACTCCAAGGAGGCTAGTTGCTGAGAAAAGGAAGCTGGTTGTTGCTACATGATATCATTACCCGGAAGGACACTTAGCATATATATGTTTTAAAAAGCAGTAATGCTGACATCTAGAAGTCATCTCAGGGACCCCGGTGCCCACTGGTAGCAAGCCATGCAAACCTGCTTGTCATGAGCAAACCACCAGCTCCAGGCTCTGGGTAACACTTGATTGCTAAATCCCACTGCATTGGGGGCTGAGGCTGCACTTATCCCAGTGCCTCCTTCGGCATCTGCTCAGGAACTCAGGTGTGGGTGGGAAACTGGTAGGTCCAACTGTGAGGGTGGGGGCAGCACTAGGGCACACTTAAAGGAGGGAAACATTAACTGATTCTTTTCTGAAACTGCATTGCAGCTCTAAATGGTATAAAAATGTGTTTCATTTAATTTTTAGTCACCCTCCAGTTCCTCAAGAAATATTCAGCAAATGTTGACAGATTCTATCAATCGTATGAAGACATATGGATTTCAGCAGGTAAAGGAATTTACATTCCATCTTCAGGGGGCTAAATGGATCGCCATTTCCACTAATGTTTCACAAATTGCTACATTAGTCTCATGCAGAAATGAAATTAAGCAGAGAATATGAAATCTGTCTTTAAAATCATGTGAGCCTAGCTATTCATCTGGAGTTGAAGGAGTCCTGAGTGTCATGCAAAGAACAGATGCCAAGACAGAGCTGCTAGACTCCTGACGAGGTTCTAAAACGAGGCAATATCCTGAGCTGCTGCAAACACTGTGGGAAGACTGACTTCAGCGAGCGATAAATGAGGCACAGACTTGGCAGCAATAGTGACTTCAGACTAAGTTCCTTATGTGTTCATTGTTTCTATGAGCCTATCCCTTTACAATGACCAGCCTTGTGTGCCACCTGTGTTCACTGTGCCAGAGGCCCTCCGGCACTCAGAGCTCTCTCCCTCCGGCCAGACGTGGCCCTCCCTTGCAGGCCGGGCCCACTGCCTCACTGTGCTAGGCTGGAATTGCGTTATCCATTGCGGACAATCAGTAGCATAGGCTGGTGCTTGCAAACCGTGGTAGGACTTGACCTGAAGAGAGTCTGGAAAAGCAGGATCAGATATGAGGCTGTACAGAGAAGGTCCCAAGTGACCACAGGCCTGAGATTGGGGCTGTGGTGAGGCAGGCCCCTGAGCTGTGTTCCAGTGGCCAGTGAGATCGATTCCCTGATTTCTCAGTAGGGACATACATAAACTTGGATAATTCGCACAACTGAGACTTCAAGAAATCACGGTGAAGTTTTGGAGCTATAGTCCTCTAGGTATAACACGTACTTCTTTCTAAGAAAGCAGCAATAGCATCTCTAAAGGAAAATTTCAGTAACGCTGCCTGGAGTACATGAAATCATTTTAAATAAGGACAGGTGAGAAAGACAAAGGATCTGTGTCCATTCTCCACCATTTATTGAGTTCCCCCCAAATGCTAGGCACTGCTATGGGCATTGGAGACACAGTGAACAAAACAGATAAACGCCCTGCCCGGGGAAGCTTGTATTCCAGTAGGAGGATACAGACAATAAACATTCCTACCAAGTCAGCTGGTCAGCAGTGGTGTGAAAGAAAACAAGTCAGGATAAGGGAGCTGAGGAATGCCGGGAGGGTGGGAATTGGTTTCTTAAGGCAGTGGTCGGCAAACTCGTTAGTCAACAGAGCCAAGTATCAACAGTACAACAATTGAAATTTCTTTGGAGAGCCACAATTTTAAAACTTAAACTTCTCCTAATGCCATTTCTTCAAAATAGATTCGCCCAGGCCATGGTATTTTGTGGAAGAGCCACACTCAAGGGGCCAAAGAGCCGCATGTGGCTCGCGAGCCGCGGTTTGCCGACCACTGACTGTCCTAGGCACATGGCCAGAGAAAGCCACTCTGAGAAGGGGATATTGAGGTAGAGACCTGAAGAAATGAAGGGAGGGAACTATGTGGATGGATGGAAGGAAAGTGTGTTCCCAGCAGAGGGAACAGTAAGTATGAAGGCATAGAGGCTCACCTGACATGGCCAAGGAATGGCAGAGAGCTCAGTAAGTGAGAAGAGAGATCAGGGCTGAGGATCACAGAGACCCCTACTTATAAGGAATTTGGTGTCTGGGAATTATTTCAAGCCCTGATGATAGATGAGATCATCTGGAAAGTAAGTTTAGATGGAAAAGAGAAGTGGTCTGAGGTCAGAGGCACATCGGTGTTTAGTCTGTGCCTGAGGTTTCTTGTCTCTACAATGAGAACGGTGGACTAGATCAGTGGTGCTCAAACACTTTAGATCTGAGACAGCCAGGCTCTCACAGTGTTCATATCTTCTCACGAGAATGCCCAGGACATGTGCCATTTCATTACTTCTCAAACTTAAGAAATTACGTCACAATTTTAGAGAATGACTGAGTAGGTCACATATTATACTAAGCTTCTCTGTAGAACAAAGGTAATAAAACAGGCCTCCCTATTGCAGGGTCAGGAGAGGGTCTTAGGAGGAACTGGTCCGCAGGCCAGGACGAGAGACTTTCTGAAGGAGATTCCTTAGTAGCTGAATCTGCACCTGGCCCAGTGTCCAGCCTCAGCACAGCTGCCTCTGCACTCCCCATCTTCACCTGGACTCTCCCATGCCTGGCTCACAGCCCCCATCCTGGCCTTCACCTTGACTTCCCCATGTCTGGCTTACAGGCCCCATCCTGGGCCTTTACCTTGATTCTCCAAGCCTCCTTCCTGGGCCTATATGCTCTCAATAAAATACTTCTAAAGAGGACATGAAAGTTATCTAAATAGAGAAAGTAAAGATCAACCTATGAAGATTTGCTAAAAGTTTTCTGAAGGAATTCTTAAGAGACACTCAGGACAAGTTGTTAAGTTTTCTAGCTGCGTTGAGTAAGTACAGTGGTCAGGGTCAGATCTCATTCACTGTCACTCTGTGAAACTCATTAATTTTGTCTCCTTTCCCACGATGCCATACATAATTACACTGTAGATTAAAAAGGAATATGATTTACTAAAGATAGCACACTCAAACATTTTAGTATCAGCTGCATTATTAACTTAATATTTTCCCTTAGGTAGGCTCATTTTGTAAACTTTTCACTTCTTCTAAGCAATGATATTTATTATGTCATAGCCTAATGTTATAACCACATTTTTCCTAGGAATTTTAAATAATTTATTTTTTAAAATATATTTTTATTGATTTCAGACAGGAAGGAAAAGGGAGAGAGAAAAACATCAATGATGAGAGAGAATCATTGATGGGCTTCCTCCTGCATGCCCCCTACTGAGGATTGAACCCACAACCCGGTCATATATCCTTTACAGGAATCGAACCCAAGACCCTTCTGTTTGCAGGCTGATGCTCTATCCACTGAGCCAAACTGGCTAGGGCTAATTTTAAATAACTTAAAAATATACGTGTGGAGCCATAGCCAACTGGAATACAAAGCTCCACTTTTTGAAATTTTTATTTTTCAATTAGTTTACTTTCAATATTATATTGTTTTAGTTTGAGGTGAACAGTGTAAGAGTTAGACAAACATAGACTTTACCAAGTGTCCCCCGGATATTTCAAGTACCCACTTGGCACCATAGATAGTAATTACACTATAATTCACTATAAAGCTCCACTTCGTATTTCAGGGTATATTTTCTTTTTCCTTTTTTCTTTTTAAGCTTAGACATTGCTAGCAGCACTTTATTTGTGTTGCAGGCTTGTAAACAGCTTCCATAGGGAGTGTCAAAGTTATGCAGTCATTTTAAATACCAAAAGCTGTTCTTTGGTTTTCATAATATTGGTAAACCAAGGGGACTTAGCTCTAGGTAGGAACAGGGTATACGAAAAAAAAATGAAGACAGTAAATAAGAGTTTAGTAATATTTGAGGTAAAGTACAATTTATGAATTACCATCTTTTACCATCTACTGTGATTTATGACTTCTCACAATAATTGAAAACAAGTTTCACAACACCAAGGTTTGGATTTTAATTCTAGTGAAACAGTTTAATAGCAAGAAAGCCTTTACCTTTCCAGAGGAAAACACAAAAGGACAAATTCCGCTGTCACTTTTGCGGTGGAGAGTGAAACAATCGCCCTGCCCCTCTCAGTGTGTTCCCTTCCTTAGCGAACCAGGGCTTTCCTTAGTGCCCCGAGGTGTGCACCCAGTTTTCTTATGAGTGCTCAGTGGCTGGATCCAAATAAACAAAGTACAGCTTAGGCCGCAGTGATTTGATGCGTTCGTCTCTTTAGTTAAAAACGAATTCCCCTGACTGTTCTTAATGATACAGACCTGTACACTTAAAAGTGGTTAAGATGGTAAACTTTATGTCACGTATATCTTACGACAGAAAGACCCGAATTCCTTTTTTAAGGGAAGGCTTGTGTATCTTTTCTATATGTTCCATAGTTCTTATTTTACATTTCCCATTCTCAAAGAGGATGCTTTTTAAAAATCCCCTTTGAGTCACCTAAACCATGTGCCAGCACCATGTGTTCAGACGCAAGGTTCGAGGGCCCGTGGAGACACAGCTGGGATGGCTATAGAAAGCTGCCGTTATGCTGTGGAGCCATCGGCAATCACAGTGTTTCCCCTGCGACCATCCAATGGCATTTACACTCCACTTCAGGGGACTCCATTTAAAGCAGACAAGTGCTATGTCTCAGAAAAATGAGTATTTATTGAATTCTTACTATCTGCTACACACTGTGCTAGGCACTTTAAAAAAAAAAAAGGATTATTTATTTAACCCTCACTGTAACTCTATGAAATATTCTGAATTTTCTAATTTGTCCCTGGGGAAAGCAGCCTGAAAGAGGTTTGGTACCCAGCAGTGGAGATGGGCGATCCGATGGCACTGAGCTGGCTCTGGGTGCAGAGGCACCTGCTCTCCCCGCAGTGCTCCATGGCCTCCGGGGCCAGGGGCAGTTAGATAGGAGTCAGGTGCCTCGAGCCCTCCTCCTGGAGAGAAACTGCCACACTCACTCACTCACTCACTCGTGTTTGCTTCTGTTTGTTGTTTGTTTGTTTTAATCAGAAGAAAGAATCCACGAAGAAAACACAAGATGAAGAAATAAAACAAATTGATGAGGAGAGAACCAAGCAGATTTATAAGAGCTGGAAGGAAGACTCGGAGTGGCAGGCATCTTGTGAGTACCCAGAGGCGGCCTCTCTGAGCCAATTGGTTCACAAAATGAAATGGTCCATCTGCAAAGCACTGAAAGAGGTCACCGAGAGTTTTCACATTAATTATTACTGACAGGCTTACGAGCCATTTTTTGAATTGCAAAAAAAGGTTCTCGTTCATCTTTGGGCCATCAAAATGATGGTATGTCTACCTGATAGGATGCTATATAGCTGGGGGGGGGGGGGGGGACAAAACAGGTTTCCAAAGAGTGCTTTATGACCTTTGAATATGTTTATATTTTTTTAGCTTGGAGAAGGAAAAAAGCATTATAGAATAGTATGCAAGCTGTCTCTATTTTCAGATGTCCAAATATCTAAAGAAAAAGATTTGGAAGGCTATTTTATTTTTAAAAAAAAAATATTTTATTGATATTTTACAGAGAGGAGGAAGGGAAAGAGAGAGCTAGAAACGTTGATGAGAGAGAAAGATCGACCAGTTGCCTCTTGCACACCCCCTACTGGGAATGTGCCTGCAACCAATGTACATGCCCTTGACCAGAATCGAACCTGGGACCTTTCAGTCCACAGACCAACGCCCTACTACTGAGCCAAACCGATTTTGGCTGTAAGGCTATTTATTAACGTGTTAACATTCGAGAAGTGGGGTTCGGGATTACTTATTTGAATTCTTCTTGTTATTCTGTGATTTTCTAAATTTCCAACAGTGAATACATCTTAACTTTGTAATCAGAAGAGCACAGGAGAAACAGGCTGGATATCTTAGCATCCTTCCCAAGCCTGTGACCCACCCTGACACCCTTTTGAATTAGCACGGCCAGAGGTAACCCCCTATGGAAGAAGTCAGAGCAGGTGAGGGCAGAGCAGAGGTACGGAGGATGCCTGGCGAATTCAGGTTTGAAATGGGACTAGGGTTTCCATCGGACTCTGACAGAAGCCTGAACTGCCAGATCAGCCCTGTGGCAGCTGGAGGAGGAGGGGTGGCAGTGTTTGCAAGATGCTGAGAATCCTAAATCAATCTTCGGACCCATTACAAGGACAATTTTTGTGAAATGAAAACACTTGCAAGAGCCACTCATTTGTGTGCGGTGAAATCCTTGCAGAATGGGATATCTTTGGCATTTCTTTGAAGTCAAACATAACAGGATTTGACTAATGATGCCTAAAATGTAAATATACTCAAGAAAAATTATCCTTCTATCCTGCATTACAGTCCTGTAATACTGTGTGACTGAACAAAAGCAAAATAAAACAATAAACCCTCTGTTTACAAAGCAAATAGAGAGAGGCAGCCTTGGGGCGCTTTTGTGTGTACCAACCCACTCGGTGATGGTCTGTGGTCAGAATCGCTTTACTTTATGGGCTGAGCTCACTGTGGGCTCCGCCTGTGGCTGGTGGTAAACCTCCCTGCCCGACCGCCCCCTGCACAGCCTGAGCCACTGACAAGTTGCTGACAGCTTGATTCTTGCTCAGAACTCAGAGCACCTGTGACATCTTGAACTCTTATTTGTGTGAAGGGTTTATCGCCTCTTATGATTCGAAGACCCTCTGCCAACTGGAATCCTCACTCGGGCTGTGACTCATCACTTAGTCTTGCCACCTGCAGGAAATTCTCCAGCCAAGGGTTCCACATTTCTGTCTTGTCCCTTCCTCCTACTCCTCCTCCTCTCTTTCTCAGAAAGTCCCTGAACTCCCTCATTGAGAGGAATTCTGCACTGAGCACCAGGCAGTGGTGAACACAGAAACCCTAACTATCTGAATAAGAGGCAGTGACCATGACTGCTCGTTGTTATCAGCAGATGCCAGAGTCCGCTCTCCAACTGTGGCGCTGATTCTTTTAACCTTCTCCAGGGGCTGGCAGGGGCCTTTCTCAGACCTTTTGTCATTCCAGTACGAAAATCCAAAGCGGCTGATGAGAAGAGACGCTCCTTGGCTAAGCAAGCACGGGAAGACTACAAGAGGTTATCCCAAAATGGAAGGAGCAGTGAGGGACTGCAGAGCCCCCCAGGTGTTCCTCTGAAACCAAAGAGACCGCCCCTTCCACCCAAGCCGAAATTCCTGAACCCAGCGGAATACCCTCCCAAGCCTTTCAGGTGAGAAGCCCCGCAGATGGCTTTAAGGATAAGGGTTGAAATGAGCTGAGTAACTCAGTTTAGCCTCTCCTCTAAGCCTGTCTTCTTAAGATGCCTTGTCCGACACTCCTCCCCTTCTTATATCTAAAACATCCAAAGTTGTTATAACTAACACGACAGGCCTGATGCACGGAGATTCGTGCAAGAGTGGGCCTTCCTTCCCCTGGCTGCCGGCACCACCTTTGTTCTGGCCAGAGCTGCCTTTCCGCCTTCCTCCTCCTCCCAGAGGCAGCTGGGGTGGTTTTGGAATGCCTGTGTATGCAAATTAACCTGGCATATTTGTTGGGTTAATTTGCATACCCACTCCTGATTGGCTGGTGGGTGGCATGAAGGTATGGTCAATTTGCATCTTATTCTTTTATCAGTGTAGAGATACCCAGTAATTTGGTGAAAGTGTGCCTTAAATTCCGGTGCCACCAGCCCATCCCCACCTGGTGGCAGAGAAGGGACAGGAGGAGACAATTACAGTTCCATCGATTTCCAATATTGGTCTTAACAGTGAAAGAATATCAGAGCAGGGCCGAAACCGGTTTGGCTCAGTGGATAAAGTGTCAGCCTGCGGACTGAAAGGTCCCAGGTTCGATTCCGGTCAAGGGCATGTACCTTGGTTGCAGGCATATCCCCAGTTCGGGGGGCGGTAGGGGAGGGGTGCAAGAGGCAGCTGATTGATGTCTCTCTCATCTATGTTTCTAACTCTCTATCCCTGTCTCTTCCTCTCTGGTAAAAAAAAAAAAAAACACCAATAAAATATATTAAAAAAAAAAAAGAATATCAGAGCAGGGACCTAAGGGCTTGCTGATTTCCATGTTGTCGGTAAAGCAATTTTCATTGCTCAGGATTCAAGGTTTGGTGGTAATTCTCATTCTGGGGTATGTAGGCAGCCTCACCTGTTGAGAATTTGGAAACATTCCTTTTTTGAATGAATTCTTTGCTGACTATGGTACTTTTGCCTCCTGGGTTAGGCAAAAACAATTCCTAAAGAAAAGGTACCATAAAATTACAGCAGAAGCTGATTATAAAATTATTTTCTCCTGGTTACTAATATTTGTTTGTTTTATATTCTAATATATAGAAAGATGGCATGCAAAGTAACCAGGAGAAACCAAATATTGACTGAATGAAACAGGACTTTCTATAAAGCCTTGCCTTCTGAAATAAAAACTGAAAATGCTTCTTTGTTATGAGAGTGGAAAAATAAAAAACAACCTTTCCCTTCGCTCGGAGTCAGTAGTTTTCGGCAAGGTTTGTCTCTGATAGGGCTATGACCTCAGGGGTAACACAAGGTGCATCTTTTCCTATATAATTATTTCTGCTTACTCAACGGAAAAGGTGCCATTTGGGGACCAAATGACCATGTTTTACAAAGTGACAGTTTGGGGAACGACTTTTTTCTTACGGGCAACAAAACTAGGAAGGTAATCAGGAAGCAGGTCTCCTGGCAGTTTTGTGACCGAGTCACAAAGACGTGAGCTCCTGTGGGGGCCTGGCCAGCGCCTGAGCTGATCTGGGAGCATTGGCCAGGGACCCTGGCAGGAGGCGCGAGTACCCATGTCTGTTCTCTAGGCTTTACCGAGGCGGGAGAAAGACCTGTGCCCTCACCCGCACTATTTTTAGAGCACAGTGTGTGTGACTGACAGCCATGAAAGTGGCCTTTACTGAGGGCAATTCTTGTTTTAAGTTGTGCTCATTTAGCTCATTCTTTCCAACTTAAGACTCTGGTTTGAAATGCTTCCTGTGAGGCAGCCAGACTGGATGGTTTTAGGGCTGGTGCTTTAAACGGTGGTGACCGAGGTCACCTAGGAGCCAGCCCAGGAAATCACAGAGACCGGCTGTCCTTGGAGTTCTCCCTTGATCTCCAAAGACTCTTCACGGAAAATAAAACTAATTTCAAAGCTAGTAAGAGAATTTATGTAATTTCAAGTGACACAGCGTCTGCTTCCAGGAAAGTCAAGTACCATAGGCTATTTTCTCCTAAATGTTCTGTATGTATGTAGATGCATGTACATGCATGTATGTCCATCTGATATATATGTCCCATGTAACTCATGGAAGCATATCTATAATAATAAAAGGGTAATATGCTAATTAGACTGGACAGCCAAGTGACCTTCCGGATGACATTCTAGATGAACTTCCAAATGAAGTTCAGCCCTCAGAGCCCGTTGCTTGAATTTCATGCATCAGGCCTCTAGTGTTTCCATAAAAGCATGAAGAGCCATAACGTTAATTTACCATGAAAGGACATTTCAGTAGTTCATCAAACTAGTTGTTGTTTTTACATGGAAATCAAATAGTGGGCTGTTGTGTGGAATATGTGTATTCCATTGCAATGGTACTTTTGTAATGGAACTTAAGTTCTGCTATTACCCAATTACTTTCTGAAGGCTTCTGCTGCCTGTATCTTTCTCTTCCCAATCTCAAAACACTCGTCTTCCTTTAACTTTGTATTTCTCAGGCCGTCTTTTAACAGAACTAAGCCTCTTCAAAGTGTGTTTGAGAAAAAAAAAATAAAACATGTCAGGGAGGTGAGTGGATAGAGAAAGAAGGGAAAATCGAATAATGAAAATGTTAAGAAAAAACTTGTTTTATTGCATTTGATTTCTTGTGTTTGCAAATGCATGCTCTCTAGAAAAACAGTGCTGGCTGCATTTTACTTTTTAAAAAAATATATTTTATTGATTTTTTTCTTTTTACAGAGAGGAAGGGAGAGAGATATTTAGAAGCATCATGAGAGAGATACATCGATCAGCTGCCTCCCCCCCTTCCCCCCCCCCCCCCGCACCCCCCCCACTGGGGATGTGCCTGCAACCAAGGTACATGCCCTTGACCGGAATCTAACCCAGGGCCTTTCAGTTCACAGAGTGACACTCTATCCACTGAGCCAACCGGTTTTTGCTCATTTTACTTTTTAATGTTTATTTTCTCAAGTTTTAATCAGGAGTTAATGGAGCTTCTAATTCGTACTAAAAATAAATTAAAATCTATGTGTTAACATACCCAAGACTAGCCCTGTTAGAGCTAGAAGGACACATGTCAGATTTATTTTCTGCTTTTGAGGCGTGTGGCAGTGTGCAGATGTCCAACCTCCCATTAGCTCAGCCTGTGAGATTAAATCTTTAAATGTCTATAATCCTCACCTCTCTCTTCCTCTCCCCCCTCTCTCTTTTTTTCTCCCTCTTCCCCCCCTCCCTGGGGAAAAAGTAGGTTTACAGTGTTACAGTTGTTCATTGGAAAAGAACACAATGGTTAATTAATAAATAAGCATATACTCTCTTTTGCATACTTACAACTGTAAACCTACGTTGGTCCCACTCTGTATATATGTTTTTGATGGCATTATTTTTAAATTAGATAAATATAACTTGATAAATGGTCCTGTAAATTACAGAAACCAGGGAGTGACAAGGATAGCACCCAGCTCTGCCCAGGAGGACATCATCCGATGGTTTAAAGAGGAGCAGCTACCCCTGCGAGCGGGCTACGAGAAGAACTCCGACGCCATAGCCCCCTGGTTCCATGGTGAGTGCGGCAGGCCCTCAGCGGCACCTCCTCTGAGGGTGGCTAGAACTGCTGGCCCACCAGCAAGGCAAGAAGAGCACAGGCTTCCTTTTATTTGGGCTGCCCAAGAAGTCTTTGAAGTTATTTCCTCAAGGCAGTTTTCAAAGGTTTCTCCATGAGCGACATTCTCATGTCTTTAGAAAGAGCAGGCAGCTGTGGTGGTCGCTGCACGCACTGTGGGTTAATTCATCACCACAGATAAATCACCTCCAGGTGGGCGGGGAGAGCAGTGCCAGTGCTCTTGACTGTGATTCCCATCAAATGGCACCGCCTTCCGTCCATGGTCCACGGAGGGAGTCAGAGCTGGTCTTTGGGCATGGTGGGCAGGGCATCGGTGGGGCACTAAGAAAGTCAGCTGTCCAATAACTCCTTGAGTGACCTTGAGCCAATCATCTTCCTTCTTTGGAGCAAATCAGTTTATCTGAGCCTCATTTTTCTTTCACATAAAGAAGTTGAACTTAAAAAAAATTCTGTGCTTTTGATCTTTATTTCCAGTCATACATAGTGAAGGTTGCACAGTGGGTTCACTGGAACCTGAGCAGATATTGGCTAACAAACTATTTCTTTATATGACCCTAGAAACTTGATTAATTCAAGTCCCTATCTACCCAGCTCACATTTCACTGACCTCTCAGTTTCTTGGGCTTCAAAGAAAGGAAGTGTAGTTTTTGTTTCTTTGTGTTGTTGTTTCTGTTGGTTGTGTTTTATTGTTGTTTTGGGGTGGGCTTTTTTTTTTTTTTTTTTTTTTTTTTTTTTTTTTTTTTTTGCCTCATTTGGCTTCTTAAGTCTGTAGTTAAACTGGACCAAGTGGCTCTATCTACAATAAAAGTGCTTTAAACAAAAATAAAGTTTTCTCACAGAGCCAGTTTGTCCTGAAGGCTATTTCGGTTAGAATGATGTTAATGCCACTTTTTTTAAGTAGCATCAACTCACACATACTAGGAAATATGTCTACAAAAATAAGCTCCCAAACATATAACAGGCAAACTCTTCTAAAAAGAACACAATTATTTGTGGTAGGCTTTCTGCTGAAGGGCTGCTTTTGTAGTTAGAACATTCCAGGAGAGCTGGCTGTAACCTGAAAAACACTTGTTCTTGGGCAATTCAAGCTTTGGGAGGTGTCCCTTCCCAAAGGAGCTCCCCTCCCTCCCAGGACCAGGTTGTAAACCTCCTTCCTTCCCTTTTTGCTTAAAGAAATTGGGAGAAAGAGTGACATCATCATCAAAAGAGAAATAGAACACGGGTCAGTTACCTACATGTCATGGCTATCACCACTTTTCTCAAATTGCATTTTTATTTCCCCTTTAAGATAAGAATTGAGGAAATCAGCTGCTATGTAGCTTCTGTGTCGTTGGGAAGGAGGTGCCCTCATCCCCAATGATGAGAGTGGTGGTTTAACAGCAGGGAGTGAGAAAATGTCGATTGATGTTATTAAAAATCCTGGTACTTTAACAGGCAGTTCTATTTTAAATTATTTGCTAAAATATGGGACTAAAAATCCAGCTAGAACTTTGGTTTAAAAATAAGACTCTTGAGTTTTACATATCAAAACTTATTAGTTGCATAATATTATTTCATCTGCAAATAATGACAGTATTACTTCTTCTTTCCCAATTTGGATACCTTTTATTTCTTCTACTTGTTTTTATCACTATGGCTAGCACTGCCAATACTATGTCAAATAGGAGTGGTGAAAGTGGGCATCCCTGTCTTGTTCCTCTTCTTAGGGGATACGGTTTTAGTTTTTGCCCACTGAGTATGATGTTAAAATACCTAGGAATAAACTTAACTAAGGAGGTAAAAAAATCTGTACTCAGAAAACTATAAGACATTGAAAAATGAGATTGAGGTAGATATAATCAAGTGGAAGAATATACAATGTTCATGGATTGGTAGAACCAACATCCTTAAAATGTCCATACTACCCAAAGCTATCTATAGATTCAATGCAATCCCCATTAAAATACCAATGGCATATTTTACAGACCTAGAACTCTCCAAAAATTTATATGGAATGAAAAAACAAACACCAAATAGCCGGATAAATCCTGAGGAAAAAGAAAAAGGTAGAGGGATCACAATATCAGATATCAAGCCATATTACAATGCCACTGTTCTCAAAACAGTCTGGTACTGGCACAAGAACAGACATAGACCAATGGAACAGAACAGAGAACCCATAAATTGACCCAAGCCATTATGCTCAATTAATATTTGGCAAAGGAGACAAGAGCATGTAATGGAATCAATCAGTCTCTTCAATAAATGGCGTTGGGAAAATTGGACAAATACATGCAAAAAAATTAAACTAGACCACCAACTTACACTATACACAAAAATAAACTCAAATGGATAAAAGATTTAAATGTAATACAGGAAACCATAAACATCTTAGAAGAACCCATAGGCAGCAAAATATCAGACATAACTCAAAACAGTATGTTTACCAACACATCTCCTAGGACCTAGGACAGTGGAAACTAAAGAGAAAAACTTAGTTGCTATTTATTGATTTATTTTCATGCATACAAATATTTATCATGGAATAAGCAAAATAAAATATGTATAAATATAATACATATACAACCATGTAGTCACTATAAGTCATTGTCTTCAGGTTTAGGAAGACAAATTTCACATATTTCTGTGATAAAGAGAGATCATATCTTTTTGAAGTATGATTATTTATTTATCAGGAACCCTGTTTTGAAATATTGGAATAGAAACTCTCCTTTATTGGCTTACCCTCTTCCTTTCATTATCATAAGTTACCCTTCCAAAGTTATTGCTTCAGTCACCTAACTTTTAACCTCATAGAAGTTCATGTGCTCACCCTTTCTCTTAAGTAGCTTTAGATAATGATAGTCATGGGTCAGAGAGGACAAGGGAAATGATATTGGATCATTGGCTTGTGGAGCTGAGTGGAAGGTGGCCTGCTGTCAATTGAGAAAAGAAACATAGGAGGCTGAGGGAACTTAGGGAAGGGGAGAAGAGGGAAGATAATGAGCTCATTTGGGATAAAATGAGCTTGAAATGTCGTTGGGACAGTCATGTGAAAATATCCATTTGGCAGGTTAATGGATCAGTGCTAGAGATAACAGGTTGGAGTTGTCAGCACATGACTAAAAGCATGAGGGATGAGATATTTCCAGCAGTTGAGTTGAGAATAATGATAGAAGACCCAGGATAAAATCCAAGGGAGTCCTAACATCCGGTGCAGTGGTAGAGAAGAGCAGAGAGCCCAGATCTTTGTCTCAGTTCTCCTTTTCCAGTTTGGATCATAATGAATGAAAATGGTGTATGGCTTGGAAATATCCTGCCATGGGTGCATGCTCGGTGATGCTAGTTTTGTAGTTGGTGAAGTAGGCATTGTCTCTGAATACCTACATGTAGGATCTTGATGAAAAATCCCATGATCAAGCAAGATCCTGAAATGAAATGCAGATCTCAACTTCCTGAGCATCTTTTTATGATCTCAAGAAAATCTAGATATGCAAAGACTCCCAACATCTACAAGAATTAAAGTTTTTTTTACAGACCATCAACCCTACATTTCACTGGAAGCACATGGAAGCCCCCACAGTTTTGGCAGAAGGCCTGTGAAGGAATTTTGTAGTTGGTGTTTTCGGATTTTTAAAAATATATATTCTGCAAATTAATGTTAGTGAATTTGGACATTTTATACTCAGTCATTTAGGAGCACTGTTGGGAATAATTTTAAACACAGTCATTAGGAGGACTATTGCTCAGATTCTTCAAAGGGAAAGAGTCCTGGACTTTATCATGTGATGATCAGGTTCATCTATGTCAATCCCTCATCTGGCCTCTAATATCAGCCTGCTAACTGGTCTCCATCTTTCTTCTGTGGTCCCCCCAATCCTCCACATAGTCAAACTTCAATTACAGTAAAATCCAAGCTCCTCCTTATGGACCACAAGGGCCTACTTGTGCCAAAACCGGTTTGGGTCAGTGGATAGAGCGTCGGCTAGAGCGTCGGCCTGTGGACTGAAAGGTCCCAGGTTCGATTCCGATCAAGGGCATGTACTTTGGTTACAGGCACATTCCCAGTGGGGGGTGTGCAGGAGGCAGCTGATCGATGTATCTCATCAATGTATCTAGCTCTCTATCACTCACCCTTCTTCTCTGTGAAAAAAAAAAATTATATATATATAAAGAGCCTACTTGTTCTGCCTCCAACATTTGCTCCAGACTCATCTCAAATCGTTCTTCCTACCTTGCTCACTGCTCTCCACCATGTGTGTCACTTCTGAGGCTGAGACACTGCACTTGTCCCTTCCTAAGGGCCTTTATAGTTGCTCTTCTTAAAGTTGCTCTTCTCAGGGCCACTTCCTAAGAAAGTGGCTCACATGACTGTGGAGGCTTACTGGGTCCCAAATCTGCTGGGTAGGCGGACAGCCTGGAGACTAGGAAGACTGGCAGCTTGAGGTCAAAGGCTGACCGCTGGCAGATTTCCTTCTTGCTCATTCATCTCCTAGTCTGTGATTTGTCATTTAACTTTTTGGCACATTTTGAAGCATTGGAGTTTTATACTTTAGTGAGGCTGAGTTTAGCTATTTTTCCTTCGTGGCTTTTACTTGTGGTATAATACACAATCCACCTGTAATTTATTTTGTATATGATATTTGGTGTAGAAACCTAATTTATTTCTTTGCATACAAAGTGGCCAGTTTTCCCAACATCATTCATTAAATAGCCCTTCTTTTCTCCACTGACTTACAATGCTGTCTCTGTTGAATGCCAAGATACTGTATGTGGGGATTACTAATAAGTCTCTGAATATCCTGCTTCTCTGAAATTGTCTTAATGACCCCTTTATATACTCACATGGCTTTTAGGGCAATATGTCAAGTTTTAAAAGCTTTGTTGAGATTTTGACTGGAATTACATTCAATTTGTAGATTAATTTAAAGAGGTAATTGCCATATTATGTTATGTATCTTTTCATCATGAACATGGTAAATCTCTCCTTAGATTTATTTTAAATTGTTAAGTAAATTCCCCATGTCGAACAAGTACCTTTTATAAAAAGCAAGTTAGATTTAGTCCTATGTGTTTATCATTATTTCTATTTTGAATTAAATTTTTAAAATCACATAATTGGTAGTTGTAGGTGTAAGGAAATTATGTTTTTATATATTTAGCTTGAGTCCAGTAATACTTAGTGATTCTAATTGTCTGCCAGAAATTTTGTTGGAGCTATAATTTTTTTTGAGATCCTAATGTGTGCCAAGCATTATGCTGAACACTTTAAAGGAAGTGATTTTTTAATAATATATTTTTATTGACTTCAGAGAGGAAGAGAGAGGGACAGAGAGATGAAACATCATTGATGAGAATCATTGTTTGCCTGCCTCCTGCATGCCCCCTACTGGGGATCAAGCCTACAACCTGGGCATGTGCCCTGACCAGGAATCACAGAGGCCACAGAGGCGGGGCTAAAGGAAATCATTTTTATTCCCATTTTATAGAGTAAGAAGCTATTAAGTTCTTCTCCAGGCTTCTACCACTAGTTGTGGTAAAGTCAATAGTCAGGTCCAGATCTATTTACCTTCAAAGTCACAGCATGTCTGAGTTATTTTGGGTCTCTCAAGTCTATTTAACCTCTTTTTGTGCAACAACAACAACAACAAAAAGTTCTCCCTGACCTGTCATGGAGCCCACCTTCACTCCAGAGGGCCTCAGAGCTGTGCTGTCCAATATGGTCGCCATTAGCTCTCTGTAGCCTTTTACATCAAAATGAATTAAAAATTAAATAAAATGAAAAGTTAAGTCCCTCAGTCACACTGGCCACAATTCAGGGCCACACGTGGCTAGTGGCTACCCATGGACAGCACAGACAAGGCCTCCATCATCACAGAAAACCCTGTTGGGGTAGTACTGTCCTAGAGGGTTCCTAGGCCTCATGCAGAGAGGAGTGGGCATTTTCCTCTGCTCCCTCTCAACCCCAGCTCTGGAGACCAGGCTTCCAGGAGCATTAGCCCAGCTCTGTCCCAGGCTCTGCAGAGCTGGGAGCTGTCAGTAAGCTCCCGCATGGCGACACCTGCTTTCTTCTGGGTGCTGTAGTTCAGCCACGCCACGCCTGGATTCAGCTCTAAATAGACTGCCGCTGGGAGAGCTGGGTCATTTCAAAAATTGGTGAAGTAAAAGAAAGCTTTTTAAATCATCCCCCTTTCACTAGCACAGAAATCCTCCTGCGACCGCAGATAAGTTCTGGTTTTGTAAGATGCGAGGAGAGAGCTGGTCAGGGGGACGGAGGCCTGGAGGCCCTCGGCATCTGTGGCTGCAGGGAGACCACTGCTTCTGGATTCTCAGTCATGCCCAGGCACATCATGGGATGAAAAATGCTCAGGAGATTGCTCGAGTCCCTGGTGATTAATATCTGACACCGGATTTTGGCTTAGCCTTCACGAGCTCCCTTTGCGGGCACACAAAGCTCATTGCTTGGCGGTAATCACCGCCGGGACTCCCTGGGTACGCCCAGTGCTCTTGATGGGATCATGACAAATTGGCTGCCAGCTTTTATCATCAGATGCACCAAGAGGCTGTGCTTTTCAGGAATAAGAATCCTGCCTAAAGCAAAAAGGACGAAGCCTCGTTTCAGCAGCGCTTCCCTTCTGGACCTGCCGTCAGTTCCACTGTGTGTCAGGAGTCTCCGTGAGGACCTGTCCTTTGCCGCAGAGTCATTGTATTGTGTTCAGTGTCTCTGGGGGATTAGATGGTGCCAAGATCTGTGCACCATGGGCAGTCATTACAGATGCAGGGGCTTCGGGCGGTTTGATTTACAGCTACTGTATGACCTACTGATGTTAGGAGCAGTTTGACCTTAACCCAAGCTTAGGAATCCGAATCCATCTGTAGAACATCATGTTATGAAGTATAACATCTGCGCCATCTGTTGAAGCCGCTTGGGATTTCAGAGTGAATCAGTACGTCAGGGAAGGGATAGAAATCTTACTCCAGCATGCCGCTTCTCCTTCACTCACGATTCATCAGTTCCTCAGCTCTGAGGGGAGTTTTCAGGGTCAGTGACAGATAACCCTGGTTTCAGAGGCAGTCAAATCCGGAGTCTTCAAACCTCCGTCATGTGCGATCCCGGGGCTGGCCGGTTACCTATTGCCTTGTTTCAGCTTATGGTCATCATCTGTAACTTACCAGCAGGACTGGGTGTGCTTAGGAAGGTAAAACTGGCCAACAGAAGCACCGGTCCATGTCTGCGGGAGCTTATACAGGGATCATTTGAGCATCCAGCATGGACAGTGCAGGAGCTGAGCCCAGAGGCTCACTCAGTGTCTGTAGTACCTGCATTGCCAATGGCTCGGTCGTAGCAGGGAAAGGGTGGAGAGTGACTAGATGTGATGGGGACCAGGCACAGGCATCACCCTGCCCGGAGTTAGTGCAATGGAGCTGGGGGCCCTGGAAGGGAGGCCCTGAATCTTCTGTTCCAGGGACATTTCCTCTGAGGGGGTGGCTGCCAGGCTTTTCACCGCCCCCAGTCCTTATCCCAGCATCTCACTGGGGCTGAGCCCCATGAACTGCACTTAGAGGTACAGGCTGGGTGCTGGGAGTGGTGCATGGCAGAAGAGAAGGCAGAAGAAAGGCTGGCTGGTTGGTGTTGGCTGGGTGAGCTTCATACCACAAATCATCCTCCGACAGGATTTCTCAAACCCTCCCTTTATTAGAGGTCTACGTACAAAAAAGATAATAGAAATACTTTTATTTTATGTTTTTCTCTGGGTAATTAGGATTCAAGTCTCAATTAACTTTACCACCAACAAGACTAAAGGGCTATGATAATCCATTGCCTTTCACCAGGAGGGGTGTGTGTGTGTGTGTGTGTTTCCTAATGATGAGATGCTGAGTATCAGTGTGGTATGGGAGCTTAAGTCTGCTAAAAAGCAGAAGAGAACTAGGAGAATGCCGCCCCTTCCTCCCAGATCATAACTCCACTTCACCATCTTCCCAAGATGTGTTTGGGCACATTCTATATACTTTAACATTATTGATTTATCTGAAGAATTACCATAGGGATAAAGGGAAATCTTGAATAGGAGTCAGACCTCATGAGTTTGAGCCAATTTGGGAAAAGTCTGGTTTGAGTTAGTGTGAATTCATGAGGCATCTAAAGTATAGATATATGAAAAAATATGAAGATATATATGAAGATTTATCTTACATATTAAGATAAATACATAAGCAAATATACAAATGGTGCCTGTGTGTATATATGTATATATATTCATATTCATATATATGAAGAGTTTCATTCCTTTGAGTGTATATGAAGGCAGATATGTGTGTGCGTATGTGTGTGTATGCTCTTATTCCTTCATGCCAATGAGCATCATTTAGGAGTAGCTTTAGAGAAAGGGCTTTGTAGACCTGCATCTGTCCTGGATCCATCACTAACTTGCTGACTTCTAGACGAGGGTTTCTCAGCTTCAGTACTATTGGCATGTTGAGTTGGATGATTGTTTGTGGTGGGAAGCTCTCCTGGGCACTGAGATGTTTAGCAGCATCCCTCCTCTCTATGTCCTGGATGCCAATAGAGCCCCACACCCTCCCTGCCCACGGACAACCAAAAAGCCTCTCAGTAATTTCCAGGCATGGCCCTCGTTGGGAACCATTGTTCTAGATCAAATGGGATCATTCCCAGGACATACACTGTCCATCAGTAGACTGAGGAGAGCACCTCCAAGGCCCCGTACGGATCCCACACTCCCAGGCTGTCAAGGATCTGGCCAGACTCAGCAGCCATCTGACCCCTTGTGTTGCTGTAATGGGGGTGAATAAATGGAAGTGTCTTCTTCTGAAGGTTAAACATTTACATTCCTCTTTATACTATCCATTTGCTTAACCTACCCTGCCCACTTCCCAAAGACCAGAAGATGAGTGATAGTGGACTCTTTTTAGGTGCCCTAAACGGACTTAAAGTCATACTTATTTTCACCGAACTTGGTCCACACAGCTCTGTGTAACAGAGGAGAGGTTTGGGAATGAAAAGCCTGCCTTTCTCACCCACAGGAATCCTCACACTAACAAGAGCGAATGAACTCCTGAGCACGTGCCTGCCGGGCAGCTTCCTGATCCGAGTCAGCGAGAGGATCAAGGGCTATGCCCTGTCCTACCTGTCTGAGGACGGCTGCAAACACTTCCTCATCGATGCCTCCTCCGACTCCTACAGCTTCCTGGGCGCGGACCAGCTGCAGCACGCCACCCTGGCGGAGCTGGTGGAGTACCACAGGGTGAGCCGGTGCGCGGACTTGACCTGCTCTGCGAATCCCCATCCTGCAGCAGCTCAAGCTCTGAAAGGCAATTATAGAAAAATGATTGAGACAAGTACTGGGGGATTCTTTTTTGATAATTCTTCCCCCATCCCCCTCATAGTCAGGATTCTTAATTGCATTTCCTTTATCCTCAAGCCTAGTTCCTCCTCAGATACTCAGAAAGACCCCACTGGGCAGAGAACATAGGAGATGCTAAAATCATTCTCAGATGAACACTCTCAAGTTACAATTCGGTGCAGGAGGTTTGCACATGAGAAAAATCTGTTTTGAAATGATCCTAGACTATAAAGCTTTGTATAAATCAGTGTTTCCCAAAGTGTGGTACGCGTACCCCAGGGGTACGGGAAGAGTTTGGTGGGGGTACGCGTTGCACCAGAGTTTGATGGGGATATGCACTGCACTATGCTTAGCTGTGCCTAATTCTATGTTCTCATGAGTACGAGGGGTACTCAGTATTATGAAAATTATAGAAGGGGTACATATATGTCAAAAGTTTGGGAAACCCTGGTGTAAATCAAGGGTAGGCAGGAAGTTTTTGTGGGATTCCCTTTCCACGTCCCGAGTAGTTTGGGGTTCCAGTTCAGGGTTCGAGTTCTGGAAAGGACCGCACACAAATGAAAAGAGACTAGAAGTTTAATTTGGCGATATGGGGGCCAGCTGGTAGTCCAACTCTAGTGGGAGAACCACACATTGCTCTGGTCCTGCCATCCCTTTTATTGAGATTTTGGGGAAAACGCCCATAGCGCTTAGGCAGGAATTCACAGACATTTACACAGGACAAACAGAGGTGGAGGCTGCTTCAGCTAACAATGCCTCACCTACAGGGTGAGTGGTTAGAGCAATTAATGTTGTTGACAGCCTTCCTGGCTTCCTGTCCACATCTCTCTGTTAGTGAAACAGTAATTGGTTTCTGGCAAGTTCTTTGTTCGCGAGAGGTAGGAATGGCACGGCATCATTATTTACTCTCTCAACCTGCCCAGCCTGACCTGTGCCTTCTGATTCACAGGAGGAGCCCATCACCTCCCTGGGGAAGGAGCGCCTCCTGTACCCCTGCGGTCAGCAGGGCCAGCCTCCCGACTACCTGGAGCTCTTTGAGTGACAGCCCCCAGCGTGTCATCCTGCAGCCCCCGGCTGGGCTTTCCTGTGGACAGACACGGCTGAAATGGACATCAGTGTGTGAAGCCAAATGGACATCAGTGTGTGCAGAGCCAGTCCTGATCAGCCAACAGTACCCTTGCGGTCCTACAGAAATCCCTCTTCTGCACACACACTGGAGTTTGATGCTGAGAGATCACCTCTGCATCCTATGAACTCCGGAAGTGAAGGGAGATTCCCCATTTCAGCAACTGCCTAACATGAAGGATACCCCCTCAGGGATGTAGGGAAGGCAAAGGGAACAAGGAAGAAACGGGAGCCTTTTAGGAAGGAAGGTGTTCTTTAACAGCAAGTAGCTCGTGGGAACTATTTCACGGCCTCCCCACTCTCCTTTTGCATCATCTCAAAAAGTCTCAGGGCCTGTTGATGTGAAGTTCCATGCTGGCTTTAGGGAGCTGGCAAAAGAAACCTTTACGGACGGCTGAGATGACTCTCCAAACACACTTCATCTACTGTGCATGTTAGAGCCAGGATGTAAGAGACATAGCGAAACAAAGCCAGGAATGGAAGTTGAATGCGTTTTAAGTATAGGGTGAGGGGCTTAACAGGGACAAAAAAAACACTGTGGACTAGGAGAGCGAGCTGGTGTCTGAGTGTCCTCAGCCTGAGAGGCAGGACATGTTGCCCATCTACCTTGGCTCTACCCAGAGTGCACTGGGGCTGGAGTCTGTGCACACGTGAGGTCCTACGTGTTAGTGGTGACTGACATGAACACAATAGTGAACTGTGTGGATGCCACTTCTTGTGGGTTAAACTGTGTCCCCCAAAAGATATGTGGAAGTCCTAGCCCCCCATACCTGTGAACATGACCTTATTTGGACATGGGGTCTTTGCAGATGTAAGCAAGTTGAGGTCATACTGGACTAAGGTGGGGCCCCATAATCATTGCCTGGCATCTTCATAAGGAGAGAGGGATTTGGGAACAGAGGCTCGCAGAGAGAAGGCCATGAGATGACAGCAGAGACCAAAGTGATGCAGCTGTAACCCAGGAATGCCAAGGACCACCGGCGACCGCCAGGAGCTGGGAGAGCCGCTTGGACAGGCCTTCAAAGGGAACTTCGCCCCGCCGACCCCTTGATTTCAGACTTGTAGCCTCCAGAACTATGACAGAACAAATTTCTGCTGACTTAAGCCATGACTTTATGGTACCCCTAGAAAACCAGGACAGACATTTGTGTAATTACAGAACCCAATGTGCGTTCTATACCATACAAATGGGAGATGTACAATCACAGACAGGCACCCAGCCCTCCTCATAATGAAGGGAAAATAGGAGATGAGAAGAACCTCCCACTGGCTCTGTTTAGCTCAGGACGAGAACTGCTCAGTCAGGAATCTTCTGGCCCATGCACGCCACCTCCACCCACCCTCCATCAGGGGGAAGGCCTGACCCAGGAGATCATTCTCTGGGAAGATGGAGATCTACTCAGACTTCAGGCCTGCTTCCCCCCCCCCCCCCCCCCATCAGCAGGAGGAAGCAGAAGGTGGCGGCAGTTTGTTCCCGAGGTCGTTGGTTGTCTAAAGCACTCGCTGACAGTGTCACCCACAAAGAGCGGGGCGCCTGTCTGTGTGTATATACATGTGAGTGTGCATGGGCAGAGATGTGTACGTTAGTGAGGAAGTGTTTAAACACAGAGTTGGTATGTTTCTTGAAATGTTCCATGTGTTTTCTATTGTCTGAGAGACAACTGTCCGTAAGTGTCCGAGAGTGTCTCTCCGCTTCCTCTCTGTGACTCAGCGACCATGAAGTGACAGGATTGCAGAGGTGGAGCTGGGCCAGAAGCCAAGAACTCCTGTTCCCACCTCTTCCCACCATGAGCTCTGTGGTTGTGGATAGGTCCCCTCACCTCTCTGAACCTCACCTTCCACTTCTAATGAAATAAAACAAGGGATTTTTAACTTGATGATCTTTATTATTTTCATTCAGCTCTGAAATCTTTAGGCTCTGGAATGAATAGGAATGTACCCTATAGTCACTAATAATTATGAAGACATACACTGAGTAACCAGATTATTATGATCTCTGAACACATAATAATCTGGCCACTCATTGTGTGTGTGTGTGTGTGTGTGTGTGTGTGTGTGTGTGTGTGTGAATATATATATATATATTAGAGGCCTAGTGTATGAATTCGTGCATGGGTGGAGTCCGGCCAGCCTGGCCAGGGGGAGGGGACATGGGCAGTTGAACAAGGGGATAATTTGCATATTAGCCTTTTATTATAGGATATACACTGAGTGGTAGATTATTATGTGTTCAGAGATCATAATAATCTCACCACTCAGTGTATAAGATTCTAGAATCACCCTCTGCCTTAAATTATTTTGGAGGAAGGAAGTACAGTTATATGCAGATATAACTAGACCAAGTGACCTCTTTCTGGGGGAAGACTTAGAACATGAGAAATGACTGGGTGAACGTACCCTTACGAGGAGCAGCAGATTGGAGTTCTGCACTATTTTACCCTGGTGGTTACTGACTCTCAGAAGAATAAACTGTCCAGTGTTTGATGATATGCTGGTGAGGAGTAACACCTGAAGTTCTTAGGGAAGAAGAAGGGTTTGCAGAATTCAGAAACTGATGACAACTAAACGCGTTGAGGAGGCCTGAATTATCATCCCAGCTCAGCTGGTAAGACCCAGTCTCCCTGTGTCTGACCCTAGTTATGGCCTAAGGCAGTGGTTAGCAAACTCATTAGTCAACAGAGCCAAATATCAACAGTACAACGATTGAAATTTCTTTGGAGAGCCAAATTTTTAAAACTTAAACTTCTAACACCACTTCTTCAAAATAGACTCCCAGGCCGTGGTATTTTGTGAAAGAGCCACACTCAAGGCGCCAAAGAACTGCATGTGGCTCTCGAGTTTGCCAACCATGGGCCTAAGGTGAGGCCATCCGAACCCTAGCCCTGGTCCCCCTTCATCTGTTGACTCAAGGTGCCCAGCACTGACCTCCCTGCCCAAGGTTTCTTGGTCTGGGATGTTCCCTCAGGTTCTGTCACGTGCCACAATCCCAGGTGCCCCAACCTGCCTGCCTCTTGGGACTGTGGCAGATGCCCCTCCCTGACCGTGTGGATTCTCCTCTCCCTCCACTGGATTCCGGCATCTCCTCTTACAGCCATCCACACGCTCCGGCCGCCACCTCCCACTGCGGACCCTCCCTACCTGAGAGGCCCATGGTCCGGCCACCTGCCCTGCCCTGCCACAGGAAGATGCACGGAAAGGTTCTCTGTCCCTCAGCATCACCAGCAGCGCTGAGCAATGTCAAGGAAGTGTGAGTAGGTGCAAACCTTACACCAAGAAGAGGAAAAACACAGGGGTAGTTGAGAAAAAGGATCAAAGGAGGAAAATTGAAAAGGGGCATGGACAGGCTACACCAGAGCCCCTCGGCACTGCCCTCAACAACCACAGGCCACGGCCTGTGTCCTATCTTCGGGGTGCTCTTGATGGTGCGAGGGGCTCTGGGAAAGGCTTCCCATGCAGGTCGCTCTCAACCCTTCAGGACAGACAGCCCCACAAGCTACAGGTGTGGCTTTCACGTGGCTCCGTGTGAGGCTAATAATTAGAACAAGCAGGTCCCTTTTCCCTTCAGCCTTCCTTTCCTTGGAATCTGAGGGTTTTAGTTTGTTTTGTACTTATTTTTAAATTTAAAAAAAAATTTTTTTTTCTTAACCTTTGCCATTGGGGTTTAACATCCTAGCAGGCCAGGTGCTATTTACTATTCTCGTTCTTAAAACATGAGTTGGAGGGTAGTTTGGTCGTGGGCTGGAGGTGGGGTTAGAAACGGGGGATTGATGGTGGAGGTAGAGGGAGCTTCTGGAGCGTCTGTAGCCTCCTCCTTTCAAGCTACGGTGTCCCTCTCAGGTGGCTGTAGAGTTAGTCCATTTGCCATGCATCCCACCTGGGGACTGCCTGTAGCCAGCCGCCAGACAGACAGACGGACATTGGGCGAGTCCTGGGAAGAGGCCGCAAGTAGCCTGTCCCTCCCTGAATGTTGGGGTGACTGTGGCCATGATGGCCTTGAGGCGGCACAGCACTGGCTGCCCTCCCAGGCTGCCACTGGCACCCCCTCTCTTAGAACAGCAGACAGGCAGACACAGCCGGGGCCACAGGGTGGACCACTCCAGAGGCCTGCAAGTAGGAATGGCAACGCAGAGACTTTGAAAGGCACCTCTGCTGACTGAGATGATTTGCTGGGTTGAAACCACCACCCAAAGCCCCCAACCAAATGGCACAGTCCCCATAGATGTTGGCAGCTACACAAAGCACGGATTCCTGGCAGTAAAAACAGCTTTGAATGCAAATAGGAAGCTAATCAGAAGAGGGATCACACAAATCTGATGGGTGTAGCAGTAAAACACACCCACCTTCTGAGGGACCGCCCCAGGGCTTTATCAGTTCTCAGCAACCATGTCAAATCTTTTTCAAAAAGCAAACATTCCTACCTGCTCTCAGACAGTCTTTTAAGTCTCCTCCTGCCTTAGGATCCTGCCGGAGAGCCTGCTTCCATGGTTTCAGGACCCTGACCTGGGTTAACACACAGCAGCTGGAGGGGGTGGGGCCAGCTCGCTCCTCGTTCCTGGGTGGCTGTTAACCTTTCATTCATTGACGGGATCCTGCAGGTGGGACTGGAGAAGGGGGTAACAGTGGGGCTCCTTCAAGCACAGGCTCCTCACTGCTTCCCTTTGCTGTCTACGGTTAAATTCCAAGCCTCTAATTACAGTGTTTCAGGGGCCCCTTTGTTAGTGCTTTTGGAAGAGCCACACTCAAGGGGCCAAAGAACTGCATGTGGCTCTCGCATGTGGCTCTCAAACGAGCCGCAGTTTGCCGACCATGGGCCTAAGGTGAGGCCATCCAAACCCTAGCCCTGGTTCCCCCTCATCTGTTGACTCAAGAAGCCCAGCACTGACCTCCCTGCCCAAGGTTTCTTGGTCCGGGAGGGGT